GCATGTACATTGGTTGCGGGCACATCCCCAGTGAGGGGTGTGCAGGAGGCAGCTGGTCGATGTTTCTCTCTCATCGATGTTTTCTCTCTTCCGGCTTTCCCAGGCAATGGCGACCGCCCTTACCCCGCCTGAGCAAGCAGAGTGAGCAGTGGATGTGCCCGGGGCCGTCTGCCCGGGCGCTGTGTGGCATCGTCCTGGCCCGAGGGCCCGCTGGGAATGGGTGCTGATGTTTCTCCGTGCTTCTGATGCACCGCTGAGATGATCACAGGGATGTTCTGCTTGTCTGTTCGTCTGGTGGTGTGGGTTGAACTGTACACCCGCCCCCACAATACGTGGAGGACCAGGCCCTCAGTCCTGAGGAATGTGACTATTGGAAACAGGGTCCTTGCAGGTGCCATCGAGTTAGGATGAGGTGTTGGGTGGGCCCTAATCCAAGGCGACGGGTCCCTATAAGAAGATGGTGTTCTGTCTCCCACAGCCCGCCCGCTGGACCCCAAAGAGTCACATCCATCCAGTTTGCAAAATACACGGGTCCTATCCCAACATCCGCAAAATCTCAGGACAGTAGTTCTCAACCTTCCTAATGTCTCAACCCTTTAAAAATTATTTTTTAAAAACATTTTATTGATTTTTTACAGAGAGGAAGAAAGAGAGAGGGATAGAGAGCTAGAAACATCGATCAGCCGCCTCCTGCACACCCCCACTGGGGATGTGCCCACAACCAGGGTACATGCCCTTGACTGCAATCGAACCTGGGACCTTTTAGTCTGCAGGCCGACGCTCTATCCACTGAGCCAAACCGGTTTCGGCTGCCTCGACCCTTTAATGTAGTTCCTCATGTTGTGGTGACCCCCCAACCATAAAATTATTTTCGTTGCTACTTTATAGTAATTTTGCTACTGTTATGAATTGTAATGTAATGTAAATATCTGTGTTTTCCGATGGTCTTAGGCGACCCACAGGTTGAGAACCGCTGCTGTAGAGCCGAAGACCAGTAGCAAAGTCACTGTTATGGAAGTGGCAACGGAAATAATCTTATGGTTGAGGGTCACCACAGCGCGAGGAACTGTATTGAGGTTGAGAACCACTGCTGAGGGCATCAATTCGAAGTCCAAAATCTGGCCTAAAGCTCCAAAGTCCCTAATCTCAGCATCTACCTAACGTAAATCAGGCCTGGGTGAGGCTCCTCGCAGATTCCCCGGAGGCAAAATTCCTTTCCTTCTGGCACGGAGTGAGCCGAGTGAGCCGTCCTCCAATCGCCTAATACCCACGTGGGTGAGGTGGGCTAGACATTCCGGGCCAAAAGGGAGACAGCAGCCCGGAGGCGTGGCTCTGTGGTTGAGTGTTGGCCTGTGAATGAGAGGTCAGGCTTTGATTCCCGGTCTCAGCTACTTTGAGACCCAAGGGGCACAGGTTATCCCTGTGCCTGAAGGGCCTGCCTCCGGGCCATGGCCCCTCCCTGCGTGTTCCCTGACAGGTGAGCTGTCAGCGCAGAAGGAATTGTTCCTGCGGGTTGCGGGGTGGGGGTGTGTCCTTATATTAGCTAAAGCTGGGGCGGTGAGGCCGGGAAGGGCTGGGAGCTGCAGGCAGTGAGACCAGGAAGGGCTGGGCAATCCCAGGCTGGTCGGCTGGCTTCGCTCCCTAAGAAGTCAGGAGGGTTAGGGCCTTGGGGACAGGCTCAGGGGGTTTGCTCGGGACCAACTGCCAGGCCCACTGCTGCCCTGGTTGTGAGGACCTTTGTTTTGAGGAGTTTTAAAAGCTGGGCATTGCCTGGCCAGGTGGCTCAGTGGTTGAGTGTTGACCCATGAACCTGGAGGTCACTGTTTCAGTTCCCGCTCAGAGCACAAGCCTTGGTTGGGAGCTCAGTCCCCAGCAGGGGCGTGCAGGAGGCAGCCAATTGATGATGCTTCTCTCATTGATGTTTCTCTTTCTCTATCCTTCTCCCTTCTTCTCTCTCCAAAATAAATCAATAAAACATATTTAAAATGAAAAATGCTTACATAGTTAACCTTTTTTTTAAAAAAAAGCTGGGCGTTCAGGGAGGGATCAATAGAATATTCATCCGCTTTATGCTGATGTACCCAAATGAGGTTCATTCACTTCACCGGTCCTTGGGAGTGGCTGACAAATGGGCCGATTGTATTTCTGCTCTCTGTCTCCCTGAGTGTGTTTACTCGGCGCGGCTCCCCCTCCCCCCGCAGGGCGGCCGGCTCCGTGTTCTGTACTCGGGTCTGCCCCGTAGCAGAGACGTCGTCACCTTCCTGAGTGGAAAGCACGTAAAACATGCGGCACCGAAGACAGGCGGCCAGTCTCCGTAGAACTGGATTATTATTATTTTTTAATTTTTAAAAAAATATATTTTATTGATTTTGTACAGAGAGGAAGGGAGAGAGATAGTTAGAAACATTGATGAGAGAGAATCATTGATCAGCTGCCTCTTGCACACCCCCCTACTGGGGATGTGCCCGCAACCAAGGTACATGCCCTTGACCGGAATCAAACCCGGGACCCTTCAGTCCCCAAGCCGACGCTCTATCCACTGAGCCAAACCGTTCCCGGCTAGAACTGGATTCTTGCCATTACTCTGAGAGTCTGAAAAACCAGAAACCCCGCTTCCCACTTCCTCACCCGGGCACACGGAGGCAGCCTGAGAATCGGCTGCTGCGGAAGGAGCCCAAGGAGCTGCAGGCACGGGTTCGCGTGTGTCCCCAGGGGCCTCTGCCCAGCGCAGGCTCCTCAGTCCCTCTGTGGGCGCTCGGGACCAAGGAACGGCTCCTGGGCCATTCCTGCCTCACCACCACGCTGCCACCTGGGACCCTGCCCGGCCCGTGAGGAGGGAGGACCCGGCGGTGGTGTTCCTCATCCAGTTTGGTCAGGAGCTCGAAGGCACTCTCCTCGTGTTCCCCCTCCAGGCCTCCCCTCCCCCTGCACACACACGTCAGTACCTAGTGAACACCCAGGCCACGTTGGAGGAAATAAAACAAACCTTCCGCCTTCGACAGGATCTCCACCAGGCCTGCATGTTAGAATCACCTGGGAGCCTTCAAACGTCCCCCATCAGGCCCCGGACTGAGTCCATCAGAGCCCGTGGGTGGGCTCCGGGCAGTGCATCTGCCACTCCCCAGGACGCAGAGCCTGGAACGCAGACTGTGACTGGATGTCAGGGTGTTCAGACAGAACAATCCATCTACATGCTGCTGTTCCGGAATAATGTCTGGTTTATACTCGTTAATGCTTTACAGTCTTCAAAGTGCAATGAGCTTTTAAACATTTAATAGAGATCTTATAATCTACTGTGGGACAGGGATACGCAGCAAATAGAGGAAGTTAGCCGTGTGTATATGTGTGTGTGTGTGTGTGTGTTTGGGAGGGAGCCGGGTGTGGAGTTGGGGAAAGTGCTGAGCCTGTGGTAGCTGTGTGTGTGTGTGTGTGTGTGTGTTTGGGGAGGGAGGTGTGTGTGTGTTTGGAGTTGGGGAAAGTGCTGAGCCTGTGGTAGCTGTGTGTGTGTGTGTGTATTGTTTGGGGAGGGAGGTGTGTGTGTGTTTGGAGTTGGGGAAAGTGCTGAGCTGTGGTAGCTGTGTGTGTGTGTGTGTGTGTGTGTGTGTGTGTGTTTGGGGAGGGAGGTGTGTGTGTGTGTGGAGCTGGGGAAAGTGCTGAGCCTGTGGTTTGATGGATCTGAGCTGAGAGGAAGCCCGGGTGAGGGAGGAGGAAGCACTGAGATAAGGTGTCACAGGACCCTCGGTGGGCCAGCCGACAGCGAGAGGGCTCTCTGCCCGCCTGGAGGAGGGGGCAGGCTTCCTGGGTTACGGTGTGTGGAGGGGCACTGGTTGCACAGCTCACAGGGATAGCAGTGCGCGGGGACCGGTGTCCTGGGTGTGTGGCCTGTGAGTGCGGCAGGGCCCGGAGCGAGAGCAAGGGGCTCGCTTCCCGGGGACCCTTTCCAGGGCCCAGACGGGGCGTGGGCTCTTGATTGCGAGAACTCCCCTCAGTGATGACTTTGGAAACAAGGCCCTCCCTGAGGGAGCACTTCCAACCTGTCCAGCTCCCTCTTCTGCGGCCCCGCCCCGCGCCGGCCTTAGCTCCAGGCCCGGCTTTTGCAGCTCCTCCGTGCCTCAGAGCCTTTGTTCCTCCGCTCCTTCCTTCATCCTGTCCCTCCAGGACCAGGTCAGGCTCCACCCATCAGGGCTCGCTCACCCTCAGGGCAGGGACCCTCCTCTGCGGTGATCCCGCAGCCCCGTAGGGAACAGCCAGAGCGCCTCTTGCCTTCCGGTCCGGGTCCCGGTCCCTCTGTCGGTCCGTCCTCAGCACCCGGAAGGCACCTGGTGCCCCTCTGTGCTCTGAGCACCAGCACGGCAGCCAGGAGCCTGGGTGAGCGGAGGGTGGAGAGAGCCATGAATGAGTGGGCGAGCGCATGAATGGATGAGGGTGAATGGGCGGGCAGGACGGGGTGCGCGTGGGTGGAGGAGCAAGCGAGTGCGTGACAGGTGCGCGCGTGGGTCGGCGAGAAAGGAAATGGCGAGGGAGCTGCGAGGGGCTGAGCGTTGATGAGTGGGTGGGCGGGTGGGCGGGCGGGCAGGCGGGTGGCTGAGGGCGGGCAGGCGGGAAGCGGCGCCGGCGAGCCCGCGGGGAGGAGCGAGGCTCGCAGTAGGGCGGCGAGCGCGCGTCCAGCCAGGCCGCGTGGCTGGGGCGGGGCGGAGGGGCCCAACCGGGGGCGGGGCGTGGGCGGGGCCAGTCCCGAAGCGGGCGGGCCGAGGCGTGGCGTAGGCGTGGCGAAAGCGTGGAAGGGGCGGGGCTAGCCGAGAGCCGTGGGGGGAGTGGGCGGAGCGGTCAGGGAGTGGGCGGGGCCAGGCCGGGAGCCGGTGAGGAGTGGGCGGGGCCAGCCCGGGAGCTGGTGGGGAGTGGGTGGGGCGATCCCGGAGTGGGCGGGGCGGGCCGGCGGCGGGCGCGGAGGGCGGGCCGGAGGAAGTCACGTGGCGCGCGCTCACATGACTGGCGGGGCGATGGACCCGCTGCCCGCGGCGGCAGTCCCGGCAGCGGCTGAGGTGGAGGCGGACGAGGAGGCGGATCTCCCGGCGGCAGGTGAGGCGGGCTGGCTGGCGGCGCACCTGGCCCGCGACCCCGGGACCCCGCGTTCCTCGGCTCCCTGACCTCCGGCCGCCCGCCGGGTCGCTGCGCCCGCGCCCAGGGGCGCGCGTGGCTGCGGCTCTGGGTGTGCGGCCGCGGTCCCGGGCCCCGAGCACCCGCCCGGGTCTGCCCCTCGGCGCGCACTCCGCCCGCGTCCTCCGGGGGGCCCGCCCCGGGGCAGCGGCCCGCCGCTTCTCCCTCCCCGCGTGCCGCCCGCGGCCCGGGGTCCGGCAGTCCCCGGGGCCCAGGGCTGTGGCCTCCTCCGGGACCGTCACGCCCGCCTCGGCGCTCTGAGGGGATGGCCTGAGCGCTGGAGGCGGCGGGCGGCTGGGCTTTCCCGGCTCCTGTTCGGTGCCCCCGGAGGACCCCCTGGGGGGTGTCGGTGTGACTGGCTCTTCTCCTCGGCAGAGGGGCACACAGTCGGGACTCCGCCTGGGGAGCCTGACGAGTGTCCCCGAGTCCTGGAGGCCCCAGTGGGCTCATTGGGGGCGAGGGAGGCTGCGGCCGCCGGGGTGGAGGGGGCGTTGCCCTGGGCCGCCCAGGTGACGGGAGCCCCAGGGTGAGTCAGTGGGACAGCAGCCCCTCACCCCCTCCGCCCGCTGCCCTCCCTCCACCGGACCCGGGGGGGGGGGGGGAACATGTGATGGCCCCGCGGCTGGAACATTGTGTTCAGGACGTCACACCGTGAGCCCGGCTGGACCCCTCGGCCCCGGCACGCCCGGAAGTGGGTGACGGGTGGGAACGCCCTTTGCCCGGGGGTGTCCTCCTGGAGGGGGTAGCACCGCACTGGGTGCTTCAGGCAGGGCTCACCCGGGCCGCTCGCTGGGTGACCGCCCTCTGTGACTTCCTGGGACTTCCCGGCAGCTGGCCCGCCTCGAGGCCGGCGGCTCCCGGTGGGCCTGGGCAGCCCTCCCAACTCCCAGAGCCGTCCCGCAGCGGGGGCCCGAGGGCGTCCACGGCCCGCGGACGTGGCCTGTCACTTCCTTCCGCCCCAAACCTGTGTCCGTCTGTGGGGCCGGAGACGTGGTGGGCACACCTTTCTCACACCAACCCAGAGGCGGGTGCCCGCGTGGGCACGGTGAGGGGCGTGCCGGGTGGGGGTCGAGGCCTCGGAGCGTGGACGGGGTCCAGGGGTGAGGCCTGTCTCGCCCTGTAGCCGAGGTTGGTGTTCACTGTGGTCTGTGGAGACACGGCCAGTTCCCTCTCCTCTGGTGTGGTGTCAGCGGGCCAGCCTGTGGTCCACGTCTCTGAAGTGCCGTTGGGATTGTCAGAAAAAAAAAAAAAAAAGCACTGTGTTCCTGTGGTTTTCAGCACTTCTCGTCCCGTAATTCTTGGGCGTTTAACTTGTGAATGTGACTCCCTTCCTAAGAATTTAACATTTAACTGAAACGCATGGACAGACACCTTTCCTTTTAAAGGAAGACCCTTTAAGCTGACGCCCCGCCCCCACGCAGTCCCCTCTCGCGGGAGGAGGCCGTGGCTCTCCCTGTGGGTGGCCCTTCCCGCCCTGTCGGTGTGTCTTTATGTCTGTGGGTCAGCACACCCCTCCCCAGGGGAGTGTATTAGCTTCCTGCGGCTGCCTAACAAGTCACCACACCTCCAGTGGCTCCAGCCACACACGTGGGCACCTCGCAGTCCTGGTGGTCGATGGCTGAAAGGAGGTTTCCTGGGCTGTCCCGCCTGGAGGCCGGGGATCGTGTCCTGGCCGTCGGCAGCTCTCAGAGGCCTCTGCGTGGCCTTGGATGGCGCCCTTTCTCCTGTGGCTGTGGCCACGGTGTCCTTATGTGTCACTTCTGGGTCATGTGACCAGGCCCCCGGGGTTCCACTGTGTCACCTAACAGTCCCCGGTTCTGGAGGTGAGCCCGTGGATGTCTTGGGGTCCGTTCTCCTGCCAACTCTTTAGATGCTCTAAGTAAGAGTGGATTGCAGGGCCATAGGGTTTGCACACTTTTTAAAATATACATTATTACTGATGTCGGAGAGCGAGAGAGAGGGAGAGAGAGGGAGAAACGTCAGAGATGAGAGAATCATGGATTAGCTGCCCCCTACAGGCCCCTCACTGGGCATCGAGCCTGCAACCCGTGCATGTGCCCTGCCCAGGAATCGAACCCTGACCTCCTGGTTCATAGGTCAACGCTCAACCACCGAGCCCCGCCAGCCGGGCTGCACTCTCTTTGTTTTAGTGGATACTGACCCATTCCCTGCTGGGTGGCAATGACCCGTGTATACAGTGATACAGTAATGGGAATGGATTAAACCCATGCTTTCTCCTAAGCTCATCAACACGAAATCCTGTTTTTAAACTTCCTTCAGACTTAGAAAAGTGAAGAAGGTGTTTCACTTTTGTTTTTAGTGGCATTTCCTTGACTGTTGAGTAGCCCCTTGAAGTCTAGTTTCTCGTAATAATTTCACCTTGGATGGTCCTGGACTGATGTTCCTGTCTTTAGCCTGGGGACAGCCTTGTTCCTTGCTGGCTTATGGAGCCGTTCTCTGTGTGTTTGGCCACGAGCGCTTTGTGGGTTTTATTGGAGCTATAACGATGGAGGTGGCGGCGGAGCGGAACGTTCTGTCCCCGGCCGGGGGATGCGTGCTTTCCCGGGGCCTCTTCGAAGCGCTGACCTCAGCGACTGCGACGTGGAACCTGGACGGCAGAGAGCAGTGCCACGTGCGCACGCTTGTCCTGTCAATGGCGCCACGCGATGCACGGGCCACACCGCGCACCCGGCCCTGCTCTCCGCAGGCCTGTGCCCTGAGCAGCCTTCAGAGCCGGCTTCCTCCACCGGAGCAGCGCACCCCGCGGCATTCCATTCATTCCACCGGGGAGCTCCCTGGAGCCATTTGTCTTTGCAGAACTCCGCTGCCTCCTGGTGGCTGGCCTGTGGGATAAGGTCAGCGCTCTGCCGGTCACCCTCGCTGCCCACAGCCGCCCGCCCGGGCGATTCCCTGCCCTTTGCGCCGCCTGCTCCTGCTGCACACGGCTGTTGAGACCACTGAGCTGCACTGAACATGACCTCGGCTCACAGCTCTGCCGGCGCTCGGCGGTCTCCTCCCCGCCTCCCACACGCTCCCATGCCGGCTCCTCCGGGCGAGCTGATGGCTCTGAGTCCCAGGGCCCAGCATGTCTGCCGCACAGAAAGGCGCAGGGTGTGAGGAGGATTGTCTTTACATGCTCTCTCTGTCACACACGCAGGCACACACACCCACACGCGCACACACACGCGATTTGCAAGGTAAAACGCGTCCATTCGGAGAAAGAGGAAGTAGCGGGGGCACGATTGTGCAGAAGAGATTCTGGCAGAGTTTGTGGTTAGCCGGAGAGAGAGGTGCTCGGTGGGGAATTCTGTTTGGGCGTGCGTCCCCTTCCTGAGAAACGCCTCCCGAGGAGCTGCTGGCCACGTGCCCGCCGGGACCTGCTGTGTCACCCGTGGTGTGTGGTGCTCACGCCGCCCTCTGAGGCGCTGTGGTGTTGGGGGTCTTTGCATGAATCAGTAAGACATCCCAGCCAGATCGGGGGCAGGCGTTCTGTGCAAATCTCAGCGCTAAAACCCATGCTGTCCGTTTCACAGTGGACGCTGATGGGGAAGCCCAGGTCCTGGCACAGTGAGAGCACTTGCCAACGACAGCCTGGTCCAGCTGTGTGTAAAAACAGGGCTTTATTGATCTCAGATGGGAGAGAGGAAGAGAGAGACACATTGGTGATGAGAGAGAATCACTGACCGGCTGCCCCACAGTGGGGACCAAGCCCACACAGCCTGCCATGTGCCCTGGTGGGAATCGAACCATGACCTCCTGGTTCATGGGTTGACACTCAACCACTGAGCCACATCAGCTGGGCACGAGAATAGTTTAAAAAAAAAAAAATATATATATATATTGATTTTTTTACAGAGAGGAAGAGAAAGGGATAGGTAGAAACATCGCTGAGAGGGAAACATCGACCAGCTGCCTCCTGCACACCTCCTACTGGGGATGTGCCCGCAACCAAGGTACATGCCCTTGACCGGAATGGAACCTGGGACCCTTCAGCCTGCAGGTCGACGCTCTACACACTGAGCCACACCGGTTAGGGCACGAGAATAGTTTTGTTTTGTTTTTAAATATATTTTTTATTGATTCTTTACAGAGGAGGAGAGAGGGATAGAGAGCTAGAAACGTTGATGAGATACATCGACCAGCTGCCTCTTGCACACCCCCTACCGGGGATGTGCCTGCAACCAATGTACATGCCCCTGGCCAGAATCGAACCTGGGACCTTTCAGTCCGCAGACCGACGCTCTACCGCTGAGCCAAACCGGTTTCGGCAACGAGAATAGTTTTGTAGGGAGTTTGGGCTCCCCGTGTCCACTGAGCAGTTAGCGTGGGGGGGGCGGTTAGAGGGGAAGAGATGTATCGTCTCCACATCCCTCCTGGCAGGTCCTGCTGCTCGTCAGCAGGAGGGCCGCTCCGCCCGAGGTCTGTCTGGGCGGGTGGCCCGGCCCGGCGCCGAGTGTCCAGCGGCTTCCGGGCCCAGCATCTGGTGCAGCAGGAGGAGAGTCTGGGAACTGAACCTGCCATTCGAGGCAGAGGCCTGTGCTGTGGTGGAGGGCCAGGTGGCTCATGGCCAGGCATTACCGAGGGTCACATTGGGCCCGGCTCCTGGGTGTTGGCTGTCCCCGACTGGCCGCTCTGCCGGTGCCGGGTTCGAGGGCGGAGCGCCGCTCTCCGCTCGCGGGAACGAGGAGGTCCGTGTGACGGTGTGTGCACCGCCTCTGCTCCGGGGGTGCGGTGGGCTGGGGGTCTCGGGGAGTCCCTGCAGGAGTTAAAGCTGAGCTGTGTCTCCCTTCTCCGCGGTGGACGGTTTGGTGGCGGCCGCCTCGGTAGGAGAGGCCCGTGGGGGCGAGCTTTGCAGGGAACGGTGGCAGCCGCACCTTCCGGACACCTGTGTGGTACCTGTGGCTGGAGCTGTCCATCGCCCTTACATTACCGGTGGGGAAACTGAGGCACGCAGCAGGCCCGTCCCTTCCCTGGGACCACACAGCTGGGACCCTGACTGGTTTGGCTCAGTGGATAGAATGTCGACCTGCAGACTGAAAGGTCCCGGGTTCGATTCCGGTCAAGGGCATGTACCTTGGTTGCGGGCACATCTCCACTGGGGTATGTGCAGGAGGCAGCTGGTCGATGTTTCCCTCCCGTTGATGTTTCTAACTCTCTATCCCTCTCCCTTCCTCTCTGTAAAAAATCAGTAAAATATGTTAAAAAAACGGTGGAGCTGGGGTCCGGCCCGGCGCCGGCTGTGGTTAGCACGGGGTCGATGTCAGCTCCGGCCGGTCCCCGGGGCTGCCTTCGTGTGCCTCCTGGAGGCGCCGTTCTTTTCGGGAAGGGAGTGCGGGTGAACAGTGACCGGGCAGGAGAGACACAGGATCCCGCGTGGCTGCGCGAGGCGGTTTGCGGGGAACCCGGAGGAACCGTGGCGGCAGAGTTTGGGGTCAGTGGGCAGGGCGGCGGGAGCTGGGGCTCGCCCGCCGCTGAGTCCTGGTTGGTGCAGGGCGGGCCTCGGGCACCCCGAGGAGAGGCGAGCCTTCTCTCTTTTCTTTTAAAATGTGTTTTATCTATTTATTTTTTTATTTTTAGAGAGAGGAAGGGAGGTGGGTATAGAGAGAGAAACATCGATTGGCCGCCTCCCACACTGGGGATGGAGCCCGAAACCCAGGCATGTGCCCTGACCGGGAATCCAGCCAGCCACTTCCTGGTTCAGGGGTTGACTCTTAACCACTGAGTCACACTGACCGGGCAAGGGGGCCTTCTCTGCCCAGAGAACCAGGATGAGGCTCCGGGCAGTGCAGGAGCTGTGTGGGCAACGCTGGTGACGAGGGGTCTTATGGGACGTTTGCCCGGTTCCCAGGCTGCCCACGCCAGCTCCCCAGGCGAGGCTTTCCGGTTGGCGACTGCACTCGGTGTGGACTCGGCAGGCGGCTGGAAGGCCGGTCCTGTCCTCCCTCCGGGAACCTGCGTGGGCAGCGGATGTGGTAAATGGACTCTGTGGGTGCCTGGGGCTCGGGCAGGAGCCCGGATGTGGTTGGGGACCAGGGTCCACATGAGCGCTGCTTGGGATCCACACGGTCCTATCGGAATTTGGAATATTTCCCCTTTCATGTCAGAATATTCTAGAAAACCCGAGCCACTTTCAGACTGCACCAGCCAGACCCAGGATGAGGGTTTAAGAACAAAACCAAAAATGGTTGAACTTAGAGATAGGGAATTTTTTTTGTTTTGAACTTTGAACTCCTACAGTGTAAGTTATTCCAAGATCCCCAAATTAGCTAAAGGAATCTCCCCGAAACTTCACAGGAAGTCACTGCCTCCCCAGTGACAATGCAGGGAGCCGCCGGGAGCCGCGCTCCAGGCCCACTGCCGGCTCCTTGTGCTCCAGTGGGTCAGACCCCCTGGCCGGTGATGGGGTTGGCTCTGACTTCGCTTCCTGATGTCTGAAGCACCAAACCATGATTTTCCCCTTTGTGGCCTGGGCCCTTGTCTCTCCCACAGGGAGGAACAGCCACTTTCAACCTGAAAATGTTGTGTGTGTGAGTATGTGTGAGTGTGTGTGTGAATGTGCACGAGTGCGTGTGTATGTGTGTGCATGAGAGTGCATGAGTGTGTGCGCAAGTGTGCGTGAGTGTGTAAGTGTGCATGAGTGTGTGTGTGAGTCTGTGTGTGTGAGTGTGTAAGTGTGCATGAGTGTGTGTGAAGTCCCACGTCCTGCATGGTTCAGGGTTCAGGCTCTGGAACAGGGACCACATGCAAATGAAAGAGACAAGAAACAATAATTTGGAAATATTGGGGGAACAGGAGGGAGCCCAACACAAGAGGAAGGAGTCTGCCTGGGCTCCTGCCTCGCCATCCTTTTATTCAGTTTGGGATTCACCCATAGCCATTAGGCTGGCAGTTTCCAGTAACAGGAAGACTCTTATCAGTAAGGATTGACGTGATTGTCTGCTGGGGAAGTTGCTTCAGCTACTATTGTCTGGACTAAACAGTGGGTGCATCGCTCTGACCTTTGCCAGAGCTCAAGGGTCACCAGCCTCCCGGCCTCCTTGTCCACACTTCCCTGTAGTGAAGACCATAGGCGGTTTCCCACAAGTGCGTGTGTGTGTGTGTGTGTGTGTGTGTGTGTGCGTGTGTGTGTGCATGCATGAGTGCGTGCGTGTGTGAGTGCATGAGTGTGTGTGTGTGTGTGTGGTCACACATGTCCTAGGTCACAGGACGACCGATCCACTGTGGAACTCGGGCTTCCTGTCTGTGCTATGGGATCACAGTGGCTGTTGTAGGGTTGGCAGGGTGGGGTGGGGAAAGTCCAGCCCTCGGGCTGGTGAGGCCTGAGAAATCCTTCGTCCGGCCCTGCCAAGGCCTGCAGGCGGGACTTGAGATTCATCCATCTAGGATCCCTTTCGTAGCAGCGTGCCTTCACACGGAACGAAGGGTGTGAGCGAGTGACGGTACACACACCTGAAGGCTGGACACCGAGGCGCTTTGTCGGCACTGGCCCGGTGTCAGCGGTGTTGGGCGTTGGGTGCTGGTTCTCCTGGTGACGACGGAGCCCATGGGAGGGGGGTGCTGTGTGCCTGTCGGGGTTGAAGGTCTCAGCCGCCCGGGGAAGGCGGAGGGGCCGTGAGCGATGGCGTATCCACGCGGGTTTCCGGTAAAACACGCCGCACGGGGGAGGGAGACATGTCTGCTTTTTGTTTCTGAAATGTAGCTGATTCAGACGCGCACTGGAAGCAAGGCCCACGGAGCAGCCCTGTGGGCTCCCACCGTCCCATCGGCTTGAGGGGAGGGCTTGCTGTGGCGGGAAACGTGGGCAGAGAAGCGTGGCCGTGCGGACACGCTGGGTGCTGGAAGCACAGGTTATGGCCCAGGACATGATGGCGGCCGGATCCCAGGAAACGGTAGCGTTACACCAGCGAGCTCCTACGAGGAAAGGAAGCGAGCGGCTGCGTCGCCGGAGCTGTGGAGCGCTGTGGGCTTGGCAGGGGTGGGTCTGTGACTGAGCCCGGAGTTCGGGGTCCTCAGGGAGAGCCGCTGCAGGAGGGGCCTGCTTCCCGCGGGCGGCACCGGGTGTCCGCGCCCCCCTCCCCTTTCCGAGCTGCTGAGCCCTCGGTTCTGAGGCGGAGGCCGCGATAAGGACGAGGAAACTTCTGCTTCCACTTCCTGAGAACAGTGTGTCATGTCCGTTCCGAACAACGGACCCTGGAGACGGTCTAACCGGGGGAAGCGGTCTCGTGAGCCTGGAGGGAACGTTCACGCGCTGAAGGAGGACGGGGCTGCCCTCGTGGTGTTTGGGGAGCGCTGCGCCTGCGTCACCTCTCCCACCGGAGTGAGTGCCAGGGCCCGGCGTCCCCGCGCCCGGCCTTCCCAGCGCCCGGCGTTCCCAGCGCCCGCTCCGTAGACGGGCATTGAGTCCCCTCCCTCCGCTCGCCCTGTGGCAGTGACTCGGCGGTGCCCTGGACCAGCAGCCTCACCTGGGAACTCGTTAGGAACTCATTCCTGCCCGGCATGCGGGGCTCAGGGATTGAGCGTGGATGTGTGAACCAGGAGGTCAGGGTTCCATCCCAGTCAGGGCACAGGGCCTCAGCAGGGGGCGTGCAGGAGGCAGCCGGTCAGTGATTCTCTCGCATTGATGTTTCTCTCCCTCTCCCTCTCACTTCCTCTCTGAGACCGATTAAGAAAATAAAAGAGGGAAGACGTTTGTTTTCAGAGCCGCGTCCCGGCCTCTGGACGGGGCAGGATTTCCTCAGCTGCCCGTGGCACCCAGTGGCCCTTCGTCAGCCAGAGGGGCCCTGCCAGTGGGCAGCGCCCAGGGAGCACCTGGCCATCAGCGTCAGGGGACCCCAGTGCGCAGTGCCGCCCCCCCTTGGGCAGGGCTGCTGGGCAGAGCAGTCCCCCGCCCCCTGCCTGTGACCTCTGCCGGCAGCATTTGCTGAGTGAGTGTGGCTTTGGCGTAAAGTGAGGGCATGCGTGACGGCACGGCTCACTGGGCAAACCTGTGTTCCTGGCCCTTTGGACTCCGAGGAGCAGGTCCCAGGTGTCACTGCCGACGCCCTGGAGCCGGACCGGTGCCGACCTGGCGGGTGCAGACCCGGCGGGGACTGCCGGAGGGTCCGATGCCTGTGAGCGGGCTGACATGTGACTGTTTCACAGCGGAAGGTGGTGCGTGTGGTAGAAATGGACACGCAGGCAGCCACGTGGCCACGTGGCCGGCTCTTGTCTCCGCCCTGCCTCCCCCGGAGAAAAGGGCCTCCGCACAGCCCGTCCGGGTCTCTGCCCTTCCCTTCCCCGCGTTGAAACGGGACGTGGCGGGTCCTGGAATGAGGGTGTATTTGCCGGTTTGCGTGCAGGCGGCTCCTTGGAGCAGGGCCTGGCCCTGAGTGCCCCTCCCGCGTGAAGGAATGGGTGTGACCAGCTGGGCGTGGGGTTTGTGAGTGTCTGTGCTGGGCTCCCTCACTGGGGACCGAGAGCAGCGGGAACCCCACTTTCTTTTGTTCATTCTTTTTTTAAAAAAAATATTTTATTGATTTTTTACAGAGAGGAAGGGAGAGAGATAGAGAGCCAGAAACGTCGATGAGAGAGAAACATCGACCAGCCGCCTCCTGCACTTACTGGGGATGTGCCCGCAGCCAAAGTACATGCCCTTGACCGGAATCGAATCCAGGACCCTTCAGTCCGCAGGCCGACGCTCTACCACTGAGCCAAACCGGTTTCGGTGGGAGCCCCACTTTCTGAGTGGCTGGTCCTACCTGGCATCGCCTCCTCCTCTGCAGGCCTGCCCCCGCCCCCGGCCAGCGAACCCAGAGACCCGGACCCCAGGCGGATGCAGGTGCCGCCGGGCAACCCGCTGCTGCTGTCGCACACGCTGCCGGAGCTGCTGGCCCGCGACGCCGTGCAGGTGGAGCTCATCCCCGAGAAGAAGGGCCTCTTCCTCAAGCATGTGGAGTACGAGGTGTCCAGCCAGGTACCGGGCGGCCGGCCGGGCGGGCGGTGCCTGGGCTCGGATGGCAGGGAGCCAGGCTGGGCGAGTCCCTGCGTCCTTTTTTGTTTGGGTTAATCCTCACTGAGGATACTCTCTCCATTGCTTTTCAGAGAGAGAGGAAGGGAGGAGAGAGGGGGAGAGAGAGAGAGAGAGAGAGAGATTGATGTGAGGAGCCACTGACTGGTTGCCTCCCACAGTGATCCGGGCCAGGGGCGGGGAGTGGATTGTCACCCAGGTACGTGCCCATGACTGGGCTTTGAATTTGGGACTCTTCAGTGCAGGGGCAGCCGGCCAGGGCAGGGCGCTGTCTGGTTGTGGCCTAGCCCCCTGCATCCCTGGGCTGCTTCCTAGCAGTCTCATTGGCAGGGTCCCAAAGTGGCGGGGTCACCCCAAATGCTTCCCCCCCCCCACATACGTTCCCAGTGCTCTTGCAGACGTCCTGGTTGTGTGGTTTTGGGTCACAGCAGGCACGGCGCTCTCCACTGCTGACCCTGTGCGTGGTGGCCTCCTCGGCGACACCCGCCTGCGTCACCCCGCTGCAGCCCACGGCCCTCGGGGCTGTGGGTTTGGTCCAATGCGTATGACGTCTCTCCCCTTCCCTTCCACTCTCTCTGAAAACCAGCAGAAAAAATATCCTCGGGTGCCCTACCTGATTTGGCTCCGTGAATAGAGCGTTTGCCTGCGGACTGAAAGGTCCCGGGTTCGATTCCGGTCAAGGGCATGTACCTTGGTTGCGGGTACATCCCCAGGAAGGGGTGTGCAGGAGGCAGTGGCTCAATGTTTCTAACTCTCTATTTCTCCCCCTTCCTCTGTAAAAAATCAATAAGATATATTTTTAAAAACATATCCTCAGGTGAGGATTAAAGAAAATAAATAAGAACTCGCTGTTCTCCCGTTTCCTAGAGTCTGGTCTCTGGGATCCGAGGGCGTAGTTCAGGGCGTGGGACAGCAGCGTGCAGGGGCTGCGTTACCAGACGAGGGAGGGGTCTGCCTTCGGGGAGCGGGGTGGGCGGGCGGGCGCCGGAGGGAGGGGTGTTCCCCGCGGTCCCGCTGGGCGGTGACCAGCTGGAGCCACGCTGAGGCGGCCCTGGCCTTGCAGCGCTTCCGGGCCTCCGTGTACAGACGGTACAATGACTTCGTGGTCTTCCACGCGCTGCTGCTGCAGAAGTTCCCCTACAGAATGGTGCCTGCCCTGCCGCCCAAGAGGATGCTGGGAGGTACGGCCGGGCCGCGGGGGAGGGTGTCGGAGGGGCTGCCGCGGCTGCTGGGTCCGCCCGCCCTCTGGCCGTCTTCCCGGGCACAGTACCTGCCCCTCAGTGGTCCGTTCCCGGGCCTCAGCGCTGGGCCGGGCGGGCGGGCGGGCGGGCGGGCGGCATGGACCCTGGCCTCTGCGGGCCCTCTGCTCGGTACCGGGCAGGGGAGGCCCGCTGTGCCCGGGGGAGGCGCGGACCCGAGCTGCTGGCTGGGCGCGGCCAGCACATGCGGGAGCTCCTGAGGGAGGCCCGAGCTGCCTGCCCTGCCTGCTTCGGGGAAGCCGGGCCTCAGCCGCCGCACGGCCGTGAGGGGTGGGTTCTCAGAGTGGGGAGCGCTAATCCGACCCCGTCTGAGAGGAGATAGGAAAGGCCCGTCTTCACGGCTGCACCTGCCCTGCCCCGGGCCAGGTGAGGGCCAGGCCCCTGCCCGTGTGCCTGGCCTGTTTCTGCCTGGGCCGCCTCGAGGTGTGCTGGGGAGGCGCGGGGTCCCCGCCAGAGGGGGCGCCGGACCCCGGGTGTGACCGACTCTGCCCGCAGCGGACAGGGAGTTCATCGAGGCGCGGAGGAGGGCGCTGAAGCGCTTCATCAACCTGGTGGCCCGGCACCCCCCCTTCTCCGAGGACGAGGTGCTCAGGCTGTTCCTGTCCTTCAGCGGCCCCGTGAGTACCCCTCAGCGCGCGCCCGCGCCCCTTGTCCGTGCCCGGGTTCGCTGCCCGGGGACAGGGCAGTGGCGGGGGTGCTGGAGGCTCCTGCCTCTGGACTTGGTGGGGTTGGTGCCTGTGGGGATGGAGGTGCTCTGTGCACGTGGGACCCGCAGCTGGTGCAGGGCGGGCGCTGGAGGCTCACGGACGCGGTGGAGACTCCGGGGTGAAGAAGTGTTTATGTTTTAAAACTACTTCCATTGATTTCAGAGAGAGGGAGGGAGAGAGAGATGGAAACATCAGTGATGAGAGAATCATGGACTGGCTGCCTCCTGCCCGCCCCGTCCTGGGGATGGAGCCCGCAGCCCGGGCCTGTGCCCTGCTGGTTCATGGGTGGACGCTCACCATAGAGCCGTGCTGGCCGGTGTGGTCACTTTAAAGGAAGGCCACGCGTGGCGTCACGCCATAGGGCCCCAGCT